CAGGAGGCTTGAAATGAGGCATTCTGACACTTGTGACACGTTATCCACTGACTTCTGACACCATGTAATGTTAGTCTACACACACATGTAACATTAACCAAAAGCCCATGGCATACGGGGCGCGTACGTCCCGTGAGTAAAAAAGAGTAGGGTACAATACGGTGACTACCGTGACAGATATTTCGGATGAAAATCATATATATGACAAAACTGGCTCCATACAAATGCATCCATACTAAGTGCTCACTGAAGAGAAGAACCTTCAATTATTTGACATTCTGTAGGGCAGAGTCCAGAGGAAGGAGAACTGAAAGATGAAAGCTCCTCATACAGCCCTTGTTTAAAAATGTCCATTTCGGATTCGAACCAGGGTTTCTTGTCGAACGTTTGTCTTGTTACAGATCTAAATACATGTATGAAATATATGAATTTGGGAAAAGAGAATTGACACATGTCGCCACAGAAATATATGAGGCATGTTTCAGTGCTGTATTCTGGCTTTATTGTTCGTCAAAAGGTTTTTCCCAAGAAACAAGAAACAGATTATCAGAAATTGTGGTACTATGATTAGGATCTTCAACTTGCTTGCAAAAGGCACGTTTTTGGTTCTCATGTGGGGAATATATTTTTGAGAATTTAGAATCAAGCATCTTTCTGCTGAGATAATAAAATAATACTAGTTTGTCCGTCAGTGTCTCAGAAGGACTAATTCTTCTGCATAGGATATTTTTCTGAAGCGGAGTAAAAGAATAAATGAGGACTAAGATGATGTAGGGCTTCTGCTATGGCCAATGAGACCAATTCAGGAATAGAAGAGTTCGACACATTTTGAGCATTTCAAAGCTTCATTTCCACTTGTGGATGTGTGCGGCTTGCTTGCTTCTCTCTTGGCTTCAGCATTCGTAATTCAGGCATATTATGACTTACTTCTCTCTGTCATTTCTGCTCTCCAACTGGGTCTGTTAAAAGCTCGGCTGTCTCATGTCAAGGGATTAATGTTGAATTCCTTCAGAGACATGTTCAAAGTGTCTTTATTGCGCCTTTTAGTGGCCAACATTACACTCCCCTGAGGACAACCATACAAAACTGCTCTTTGGTATTCTAAAATCAGACATTCTTACAACATGACCAGCCCAGCGAAGTTAAGAGTCCTGAGAAAACAGAATCTCGGCAATTGCCCTTTTTAGAACTTCTGTGTCTGGTATTTTGTCCAAACCTCTCGTGGCCTAGAGGTTAAGGTGTTGGCCTCTCATTCAAAGGTCCCGGGTTCGATTCCGGGTAGCGACCAAAAATTTTTCTTCTCTAAAATTGTCTCCTTTCACATCCTTTCCTGATCTCTAACAATGTTCTGTTGTCTGCTTTCATTTCCAATTTCTGCCCCCACCCCTCACCGCCTTTGCCCCCTCCTCTGGGCTCCTGACTCTTTCTGCAGCCTTTCTACTGCTACTCCTTGGCTCCTCCTAACTGCTGTCTTTCTGCCACACCCCTGATCTTCTGGTAGGAAAGATCTACACCTAGCCTTCTCGGACAAGGGCGAAAAATCTCGGAGGGCCCGTGTGCAAGTTGCGCACGTTAAAGATCCCTTGGTGGTCTAAAATCGATAAGAGTAGGCTTCGGCCGCCACCCGGGCAAAATTCAAAATTTCCTACCAACGAAAAAGTATTAGGTGTGTCCCGCGCGCTCATATGACCTTATGCAGTTGCGAGCGCCGTAAAACCCTATACTAAACAAACAAACAAACCTTTGATACCACGAATTCTCTTGAAACATTTCATGTGGAAATGATTAATCTTCTTGTTGTAGCTTTGGTGCTGTACAGATCCCAGCAGCATACAACAGGGTTGGGAGGAAAACAACGATGTAGACTTTCAACTTTATCTCTGTGCGAACGCCACAGCTGTCCCAAACCCCTTGCTCTGAGGCGTCAAAACGATGCACTGGCTTTATTCATTCGTAAAGCTGCTTCAGCATTGATGTAGACATTAAAAGACTGTGTACTGCCAAGATATTTGAAGCTATCAACATTTTCCTGTGTTGCGTCATGCATTTTGATTTCAGGAGGGAGGGTCAGCGTATCATAAGGGACGGGCTGAAAGA